GTCCTCGAGCCCTCCAGCTTACATCCCTTAGATCGGAAAACTCGCCAGCCCTCAGGGCTGGAGGGGTCCCCGTCGGATCGTCGTCGAGAGGGCTCCACAGGGTCCCATAGGGCTAGCTCAACTGGGAGAGTGGAGCGGTCCACCGGGATTCCGGGAGGGAGGGGTCAGGAGGGCTTGGCGAGGCGGGAGGGGTGGTGAGGTCCAGGACGCAGGAGGGCTCGCCGCCCCCCCGAGCTCGGGTGATAGGCAAGAGGGCTCGGGCGCCGGGTGGGCTCGGAGGGACGGTCGGACAAAGAGAGGATTTTCGTGGCGGGAGGGCTCGAGAGGGGTCGGAAGGGCCTCCGGGAGGGTTCGCAAAAAAAGAATGGCGCGGGGCTGCCGAGAGTGCCCGCCACGACAGGGTTAGAGGGGTCGGAGGGGTTTAGAGGGCTGGAGGGCTGCAGGCCTGCTGAATCCGCCCATGGACGTGGGTCAACCGGCGACGGCGCCCGTGATCGAGGGACCGGCGACGGCGAATGAGCTGGTCTCTGCGCCGCACGACTTCACCCACGTTCGCGACTGTGGCCATCCAACAGTCTGCCGGCGCGGCGGGCGCATTCGAATGCGCCGGCCGCGCCGGCAGACTGCCAGTGCTATCCGGGCGGGCCTGCTGCGGCAGGGCGCTGCAACGCCGCCCCCTCGCCGCCACAGCAGCGCCGCCCCCGCATGGCTGCCGCCAGCAATGTCGCCGCCAGCCGCCGCCCCCAGCCACCGCCGCCAGCTGCCGCCAGCACTGCAGCGACAGCTCTCTCTGCTGCCCAGGCGCCGCCGCGGCCACGAGTGTCACCGCCACGAGTGCCGCCGCCGTCAGCGTCGCCATGGCCGCTGCCGCCGCCAGGCGGGCGAGCGAGGAGCTCCATATGAGTGTGTGTGTCTGGAGGCTGTGGCGCTTTTCCGTTTTAGCGGAAACCCCAGGTATTTCGAATACCAAACGCGCTTCGTGTTTGCCTTGAGGAGCGCAGCGACGAGTCCGTAAGGAGCGGCCCCAGCTTGCTGGGTGCGGCGCCGCCGCGCGCCGTATCGAGAGACTCTGTCGGGGCAGGTTAAAATAGCGCCGCAGGCTCGCCCCGCGGGCCGTCCGCGCACAGGACCACGGAAACGCCTCATGATGTGTATTGCACCACTTCCGTATGCCTGCAGGGTATCTTTAACCGAGCCCTCCGAGCCCTCCACACCCCCCCACACCCCTCCGACCCCTCCGACCCCTCCGACCCCTCCGACCCCTCCGACCCCTCCGACCCCTCCGACCCCTCCACACCCCTCCGCGAGCCCTCCGAGCCCCCAGAGCCCTCCGACCCCTCCGACCCCTCCGACCCCTCCGAGCCCTCCGAGCCCCCCGAGCCCGGCTCGGTGGCTCGCCCCTCCGAGCCCTCCGGGCACTCCATCCCTCATGAGCCCTCCCGAGCCCTCCCGAGCCCTCCAGCGCCACCCTCGTGCCTCTCTGCCCTCCGAGCCCTCCGAGCCCTCCGAGCTCTCCACCCCTCCCGAGCCCCACCCCTCGCGCTAGTGACCCTCTTGCCGGACGACACCCTCCGAGCCCTCCAGGCCCCCCGAGCCCTCCAGACCCCTCCATCCGCACAGCCCCTCCGGCCCCTCTAGCCCCCTCCGACCCCTCCAGCCCTCTCTAGCCCACTGGACCCCTCCCACGCCTCGCTTTTGGCCAGCCCTCCAAGCCCCCACCCCTCCTGGGCCCTGCCGCCTGACACCTCTATCGGTGGAGGGCTTTAGGTCACGGTCCACACTCCCGCCCTCCCGACCCCTCCACACCCCTACAGCGGCACCCCTACCCCTCCCGCCGTTTTAGGGCCTCCTGACCCGCACTCCGGTTTGCATGCGAGAGCAGGGTGGTGCGTCTCTGCTCTCTCTACCGGCGTGCAAGTACGCGCACACACCTCTCGCGTGCTGACCCATCAGCATCACATGCGCCGGTGCCGGTTTGTCAGAATGAACTAAGCAATTATATACATGCAGGCAGTGTGTGATGATCTGTACAGGGTAAAATAAACAATTCCTCACAGTCAAGGCCCTCCGCAAGTGGCGAATCGCCACGCGTGCTTGGCGCGCATCGCCTTTGACGTGGCGAGAGCGTCGCTCGTCGGTGCCATCGGGTAGGCTGTCGTGTTGACTTGAAACTCGTACGCGTGCTCCGCCAGCAGAGCCTCCATCGCGTCCGGGTCGACAGCCTTGCCCGCGGCGGCCGCCGCCTTGCCTAGGCCGAGCAGCCTCTTCGCGCGCTCGTGGTAATAGTCCTTGATTAGGCCATTCCAGTGCTTCGACGCGTAGTCAATCGGGCCGCCCGGCCGCTTCTTCGTGTCGCGCGATGGCACCGGGTTCCACGTCGTCAGCTGGCTGCGCGCATTCCACTCGTAAAAGTGAGCGCAGCCGACGACCTCCTTCGGGATGGTCGGATAGCTTGGCCCTGTGCAGTCGCTCGCATTGGTGGCGTCGGAGTGGTATCGGCGCTGCCGACCTCGCGCGCCATCGCAAGCCACGGCCCAAGCAAGAAGGAAGTCTCGGCACCGACGAGCTCGTCTACATCGGCCAGAATGCCAAGGTAGGCGGCGGCGGCGGAGTCGAGCGCGGCGACGGCGACGGGCTTCGCGTCGAGCGCGGCGGAGAAGTTGTTTGCCATTGGCGTGGAGATCTGCGCAAGGACCTCGCGGCCGACATCGATCAAGTCGTACCGCAGCGGCTCGTCGAGCGCCGCCTCCGCACCACTGCCGAGGCCGCTACCGCTACCGCTGCCCACCGCCGCCACGGTGGTTGCGGAGAGGGAGGAGGCCACGTCGATCAGATGCCCCCATGCCTGCCAGACGAGGCACATCTTGGCAGTCGGCGTCGCACGGTCCTTGCCAAACGCCCAAACGTCCGATGGCTTCAGGTGTGGCACTCCGGAGCGGTCCTGCGTCGAGAGGTCTTGCGTGTACACCGAAGCACCGAGCAGTGTCCACGCCTTTGCGGCGGCGGCGTACGCCGGGTCGGCAGGGTCGGATAGGCCGTACCGGCGCAGCGCACGTACGGACAGGTATTCGGAGATGGATGAGGGCGACGGCAGCGTGAAGTGGTTGTCGAGCAACATGTCATAGTACGCGGGGTTTTGGTCGATGCCCTCACCGGTGAACCCGCTGCCGATGATGTTGACGCCCGTGGCGCGCACGGCGCGGCCCGGCACCTCAAATGCGCGCGTCATATTGCCGCGCAGGCCGTCGGTGCCGCCAAAATTGTGCAGCTTCGACCAGACAAAAGGCGTGCCCCAGAAGCCATTCGAGTCGAACTTAGTGAGCCACTCGCCCTCGCCATAATCCATATCGATGATGACGAACTTGTCTTTTGGCGCGCTGTCGATGAAGCCCTTGAGCGCCGCCGCCCTGTTCGGCGTATTCTTCCAAAACTCGAACGCGAAGCCCTGGAACGACCAGATGGCAGCAGGATCGGTACGCGCGAGGCCAGCATACGCGGCGGCACCGCGCTTCACCCAGAGTGGGTCGGGCTGCGGCGGCGGTGCCGTCGTCGTGATGTCCTGCCTGACACGAGTCGTGCTGTGCATCTGGTTGTGGGTGTCGTTCTGGGTCTGGTCCTGCATCCACGGGGCAGTGCCGCCATTAAAGTAACCGTCGAGCTGGTACCAATGGTCGGCGAGGCCAAACGACGCCTTGAGCTCGGCCATCCACGCGTCCGCAATGGTCGCAAAGTGCGGGTCGAGCGAATCCATCCACCCCGTGTCGCCCTGCTTGGTGATGTTCGCGTCGGCTAGCTTCGCCTTAAGTTGGATCGGCACGTTACCCTGGAAGCCAGGCAACTGGCCGATGATGCCGAGCGAGCGCGCACGGTCGAGGATGAGCCTCTCCAGGTCGAATTGCGAGCGCATGAAGGAGCGCGGCAGCGGGCCCGCGATGCCAGCGCCGTACTCGTTCTGCCCACGAG